GATATTTCCATTCATATTGTAAGGTGCTTTGATATATGGAACAGAACACTTCACAACTTGAGATTCTGTGAGATACAGTGACTATAATCTTAATGAAGACAAATGTGCAATTTTCTGTTATAAAAAATAAAATTTAATTCCAATTGCTGATCAATTTTATTTAAAAGTCCCCCTCAAAAATGAAGAAAAGAATAACTTCCATTTAATACTTTTTGTCACAGCAACAAGTTAGATACACTATTCTCAAAAGAATAAAGCCAAAAGATGGCAAAGAGAATTTCAATATATGTTAACTTTGACATTAGTGTGATAGTCCTTTGTTACTTGGTACTAAAGCTAAAAAAATTACGTAACATTCGGATTATATAACAGTGAAAAATAGTGACCCTAGTTTTGAGGCAGAACTTTCATTTTAATCATTCCCAGGTACGTGTTTATATATCTAGAATACATTAAGATTTTAATGTAATATAGCTTGCACTTTATTTAATACAACACTGCACTTTGTCCAACATGCTCAAGTACTCAACTAAAGTTCACAATGGTCATATACTTACTGTTCAATCCACCCAACTTCCAAACACAGCATGTCAACGTTTCACAGCACCAGGCTCTATACTGCCCTGAATTATTAGTTTAGGCCTCTGCATCAATGGTCCAGGAGCATAAACTGTCATACCCTCTTCATGGTGTCAGATCCCATCACACCACTTGAGTTCAATTCCCGTGTTGTGTCCATTCAGGTTTAATGAATATTTAAGCTCTTCCTAAACTTATTCAGCATTTACTAGCAAAATGCAAACTTCAATCAAAGTAGCTGGTACTTTCCTGGTTGTCACGACAGTGGTAAAATACGAATGAACAATTTCAACTTCTACCATCTGATACTGATATCCAAGACCATCATGAACGAAAATGGGTTTTTAAAAAGGAAGAAGCATAGCAACAGTGATCACTTGACCACATTGCGGCAAGTTCAGGAAAGCAAGGTGGGATAAACAAAATTGTTTGAAGTGAAATTATCATTTTATCTAAAAACACTGGAACTAGTCAAGTGAATTAGCAACTCTCATGCCCTGCTTTAATTTACACTTGTATGAGACATTGTGCATATTGAACATGAATGGGCTGCCTGCAACTATTCAGTGGGGTAAGACAACGAAGCCAGACTTGGGTATATACAGATGAACCATATTTTGGGAGTTGCTTGGCAGATCAAAGGGAAAGAAAAAAAATGAAAACTTAAGAACTTAAGAAACAGGAGCAGGAATAGGCCATCTGGCCCATCGAGCCTACTCCACCATTCAGTAAGATATCATGGCTGATGTTTTCGTGGACTCAGCTCCACTTACCTGCCTACTCACCATAACCCTTAATTCTTTTACTGTTCAAAAATCTATCTTTGCCTTAAAAACATTCAACAAGGTAGCCTCAACTGCTTCACTGGGCAGGGAATCCACAGATTCACAACACTTTGGGTGAAGAAGTTCCTCCTCAACTTAGTCCTAAATATGTTCCCCCTTATTTTGAGGCTATACCCCTAGTTCTAGTTTGACCTGCCAGTGGCAACAACCTCCTCTATCTTATCTATTCCCTTCATAATTGTGTATGTTTCTATAAGACCCCCTCTCATTCTTCTAAATTCAATGAGTATAGTCGCAGTTCACTCAATTTCTCATAAGCCAACCCCCTCAACTCTGGAATCAACTAAATGAACCTATTTTGTACCCCTCCAAGTGCCAGTACATCCTTTCTCACGTTAGGAGACCAAAACTGTTCTCATAGGACAGTGGCTTGAAAGGAATTCAGGAATTTACATATATTAATTAATTAAAACCTGCTAACTGATTAAAGATTTAACAGAATCTTAGGTTTGTTTAGTAAACCCTCATCAGTAGTGTGACCCTTTGATCTTTCACTTCTAAATTCTGTATCTGATATTACCTCTCTCACTAACACCTGCAGGAGAAGTAAGACTCCGAAAGCTGATGTCATGTGGACTGAAAGTGTGACATAGATGCACACTAAAAATAATTAAAAATATTCACTGTGGTCAACTGATACATTTTAAAGTTTCCTTCTTACTTGGTTGTAACGTTGCTGTACTCTTTAATACAATAAGTTCAAATCTGACCTATTGTCTTTCTGCTTTCAAGAACTTTTTTCTCCCCATCAACCTCTCAGGCGAGGCAATATGGTGCATAACAGCTAGGTCTCAATGTTAGATGAGGCCTAATACTTAGGTGTGTAACAAACTCTCAGATTGTAGCAGTGTGTTATCAGTCACAAACAGTCTTGCACAAACATCTATTCATCAGCAGGGATATTAAATAATACTTCTTCCTTATGAATTATAAACATAAAAAGGGAGTTCAAAACTAAACCTGATTTAAGGTGGTTAATCAAGATTAAAAACAGGCAAATAACAATTCATCATCAGAACTTCTGAGAACCTAAGAAACAATCATTACCAACAGCAGAAATTACAACGGTTTCGGTGAGAATCACACATTTTTCCTCACTCACCAGCTATTAAAATTCAGGCTGATTCCGTATTCTCCTGCTCCAACACAATCTATTTATGACCTGCAGGAACCTTTGCCTCCTCCACTGTTTGTTTTTAAATCTAGTCTGATTGGCTTTTCATCCTTCACTTTATTAAATCTGGCTATAAACCTTTATGACAGCACCTGGCTTTCCAATTTTAAAAGGTGTACTTGTCTTCTTCTGAAAACGTTTGGAAAGTAGGTGCTTGCTCCAACCTAGTAACTCCCAGCAATGTCTATTATGTTGTTTTTGCCTACCACAGCCCATACAATCTTAAGAACTATATTCGCTCAGGACAGTGCATCGTTCCATCAATTAAAACTAAAATAAAAATATTTTCAAGCTCAAGTTATCCTAATTTAAATCTGTATCTCACTATGCTTGTAGATCGAAATGTGCACACACAAGCTGAGACTTTAGATTAATGTATGCGCAGAAAAACAGCAACAGATTATTTCAAAGCACTTTCAGGATTGTGAACAGTTATTAGAATAGGCAATGGCCAGTTTATTCCTTTATCTTAAATGGTGGCAACCAGTCCTCAGCACAAGATCTAGATATGATCCTCCACCTTTATCCACTGTATATTGCATTGAGTGGGAACAACAGTGCTGGATGCAATTGTGTGGCTCAGTGCATGTATTGTGGAGAGTTGCCAGAGCCTTTTCAGGGAAGGAGCAAATACATGACCTGCCCTGCCCAAAGTAGGCTGTCACTGGGCCTTTCACCATTACTGGCCTGTATGAACAATCTGCCCTACCCAAATACCGTAGGAGGTTCCAGCGGTAATGAGAACAATGCTGAATTACTGCACTCGTCAAAAAGTGGCATTGGGGATGCAAGTCACAAACTATGTGCACATATTCAGTTGTTACACTGCTGCAAAATTCATCCCGGAGCAGAAAATTAAGCAGCTTCTGTTTAAAGGAACGATATCTATACGCTAAATTAAGCAGCAACAGACTCAGAGATTCATAAGAACTTCACTAAATCTGTAATTTAGCAAAATCGCTCATTTCCACATTTCTCTTTCGGATTCTTTTCTTATCCAAAAGCCAGTCCCCTCTGGGGAAAATCACAGTTTTTTTTTCATAAATCACCCTGTTCAGATGTGTTATGATGTGTCTGTGGAAGATTGGACTTGAACCTGGATCTTCCGGCCCAGACACGGGGACAATACTACGTGCCTCGAGAACCCAGCTCTTATTGTTTTGCACTAGAACAGGTTTTATTTACACATATCTAGTGTAAGGTCTTTACTTCAGAAGGATGTGCCTAGAGGAGTGAGTGGCATCAATACTAGGCATGCTGTACTTGACAGGATTATAGGTGACGAAGAACTCTTCAAGATAATGATCAACCAATCAATCAATCAATCATTTCAGGTTTGATTTCAACCTGGTTGAAGGTTTTGCCATTGCACACACCCACTATGCTGCCAACCATTTCTGGCAGGATAATCACATCCCAAATTTGTGTCTCAACAACCTCTGTGTGTCTATTGGTGGAGCTTCCTTTTTATATTTGCTCAGCCTTTTCAGGAGGGATTGTGTTTACGGCGCACATCTCTGTTTCATACACCTTCACTGACAAGCAGGATAGAACTGCATCAGCTGCTCAAGGGACGTATCAGGGAGCTCATCCAGGTCAACGCCTCTGTAAGTAAGTTTCCTTAAGATCTTCTTCTTCTTCTGCTCTAATTGGTCAGCCATTTTCACCTGATCTATTTGGAAATTAGATATTTACTAATCAACCTGTTTAGAGACGTCTCAAGCAAATGGGACTCAAACCCTGGGCTTCCTGGTGCAGCGGTACAAACATAGCCACGGTGTCACAAGTGTCCCAATATACAGTCAAATAACTATCAACTCAATAAACTCTGGACCTTTTCTGGTTAACCAGAGGGCTCTTATGGTATAGTGGCAGTGTCCCTACCTTTCAGCCAGGAGGCCCAGGTTCAAGTTCCACCTGCTCCCAAGGTGTGCAATAACATCTCTGAACAGACAGATGAGAAAATACCGACTGGCTTACTTTTAAAGGGACCCAACTTCATTTTTAACACCAAGAGTTTCTACAAGGATTCCATACAGTAAGTGAATCAATGTCACAGCACACAGTCATACAGCACGGAAACAGACCCTTTGGTCTAATTCACCTGTGCTGACCAGACATCCCAATCTGACCTAGTCCCATTTGCCAGCATTTGGCCCCTATCCCTTTAATGCTTCCTATTCATATACCCATCCAGATGCCTTTCAAATGTTGTAATTGTAGCTGCCCCCACCACTTTCTCTGGCAGTTCGTTCCATACACACACCACATTCTGCGTGAAAAAGTTACCCCTCAGGTCCTTTTTAAAATTTTCCTCCTCTCACCTCAAACCTATGCCCTCTACTCTTGGACACCCCACCCTAGGAAAAAGATATTGGTTATTCACCCTATCCATGCCCCTCATGATTTTATAAAAGTCTATAAGGTCACCCCTCAATCTCCAACGCTCCAGGGAAAAAAGCCCCAGCCTATTCAGCCTCTCCCTACAGCTCAAACCCTTCAGTTCCAGTAACACACTTGTAAATCTTTTCTGCACCCTCTCAAGTTTAACAATATCCTTCCTGGAGAAAATCGACCAGAACTGTATTCAGTATCTAAAAGGAGCCTCACCAATGTCCTGTACAGCCGCAACATAACCTCCTAACTCTTATACTCAACATTATGACCAATGGAGGCAAGCGTGCCAAATGTCTTCTTGTCTACCTGCAACTCCACTTTCAAGGATCTATGCACCTGCAGCCCAGGCTTCTTTGCTCAGCAACTAACCCCAGGGCCCTAATATTAACTGTATAAGTCCTGCCCTGGTTTGCCTTACCAAAATGCAACACCTCACATTTATCTAGATTAAACTCCATCTGCCACTCCTTGGGATAAAGGCCCATCTGATCGAGGTCCCATTATACTAGGAGACAGTCTCCTTCGCTGTCCACTACACCACTTAGTTTGGCGTCATCTGCAAACTTTCAAACTGTACCTCCTATATTCACATCCAAATCATTTATATAAATGATATAAAGCAGTTGGACCCAGCACTGATCCTTGTGGCACACTGCAGATCACAGGCCTCCAGGCTGTAAAACAACCCTCCACCACCACCCTCTCAGTCTTCTACCTTCAAAGCAATTTTGCATCCAACTGGCTAGCTCCCCCTGGAACCCTTGTGATCTAACCTTACTAACCAGTCTACCATGCAGAATCTTATGAAACGCTTTACTGAAGTCCATTTAGACAACATCTATTTCATCAATCTTCTTTGTCACCTCTTCAAAAAACTCAATCAAGTTAGCAAGACATGATTCCCCACTCAAAAAGCCATGTTGAGTACCCCTAAATTAGTGCTTGCTTTTCGAAACGTAAATCCTGTCCCTCAGAATTCCCTCCAAAACCTTACACTACTGACGTAACGCTGACCAGTCTATAGTTCCCTGGCTTTCCCTTACCACCTTTCTTAAATAATGGCACATTAGCCAACCTCCAGTCTTCCAGCACCTCAGCCGTGGCTATCGATGATACAAACATCTCAGCAGGGGCTTAGCAATCTCTTCCCTCGCTTCTCAGAGTTCTGAGAAACACCTGGTCAGGTCCCAGGGAATTATCTATCTTTATGCATTGTAAGACCTCCAGCTCCTCCTCTTCTGTAACATGATCTTGTTTCAAGACATCACTATTTAAAATACCAATGCAAAAACATTAATTTAGTATCATAAGACCATAAGACATAGGAGCAGAAATTAGGTCATTCGGCCTATTGAGTCTGCTCCGCCATTCAATCATGGCTGATAAATTCCTCAACCCCATTCTCCCGCTTTCTCCCCATAATCCTTGATACCCTCGATAATCAAGAACCTATCTACCTCAGTCTTAAATGTACTCAATGACCTGGCCTCCACAGCCTTCTGTGGCAGTGAATTCCATAGATTCACCGTTCACTGGCTGAAGAAGTTTCTCCTTATCTCCATTTTAAAAGGTCTTCCCTTTACTCTAAGGCTGTGCCTTCAGGTCCTAATCTGTCCTACCAATGGAAGCATCTTCCCAACATCCGCTCTGTCCAGGCCATTCAGCATTCTGTAAGTTTCAATTAGATCACCCCTCATCCTTCTAAACTCCAATGAGTATAGTCCCAGAGTCCTTAAACGTTCCTCTTATGTTAAGCTTTCCATTCCTGGGGCCATTCTCGTGAACCTCCTCTGAACCCGCTCCAGGGCCAGGACATCCATCCTGAGATATGGGGCCCAAAACTGCACACAATACTCCAAATGTGGCCTGACCAGAGCCTTATAAAGCCTCAGGAGTACATCCCCGCTTTTATATTCAAGTCCTCTCAAAATAAATGCCAACATTGCATTTAACTTCCCGACTACTGACTCAACCTGCAAGCTTACCTTGAGAGAATTTTCGACTAGAACTCCCAAGTCTCTTTGCATTTCTAAATTTTCTCCCTATTTAGAAAACAGTCCATGCTTTTACTCTTCTTACCAAAGTGGATGACCTCACACTTTCCCACGTTGTACTGCATCTGCCACTTCTTTGCCCACTCTCCTAACCTGTCCAAATCCTTCTGCAGCCTCCCCACATCCACAATACTACCTGTCCCTCCACCTATCTTTGTATCGTCTGCAAATTTAGCCAGAATGCCCACAGTTCCTTCATCTAGATCATCAACGTATAAAGTGAAAAGCTACAGTCCCAACACTGACCCTTGCGGAACACCACTTGTCACCGGCTGCCCTCCTGAGAAAGACGCTTTTATCCCCACTCTCTGCTTTCTACCAGACAACCAGTCTTCTATCCATGCTAGCGCCTTGCCTCTAAGATCGTGGGCCCTTATCTTACTCAGCAGCCTCCTGTGCAGCACCTTGTCAAAGGCCTTCTTGAGGTCCAGATAGATAACATCCATTGGCTATCACCCATCTCCTGTGGTTTCACACATAGATGGCCACATTGATCTTTAAAGGGGTTCTATTCTGTCCCTAGTTACTCTTTTGTCCTTAATGTATTTATCAAATCTCTTGGATTCTCCTTAACTCTATTTGCCAAAGCTATGTCATGCCCCCTTTTTGAACTCCTGATTTTGCTATGAAGTATACTCCTACTGCCCTTCTAGCGATACACTTGATCCCAGTTGCCTATACCTAATAAATGCCTCCTCCTTTTTCTTGACCAGAGCCTCAATTTCTCTAGTCATCAAACATTCCCTACACCTATCAGCCTTCCCCTTCACACTAACAAGAACATACTGTCTCTGAACTCTAAATATCTCATTTTTAAAGGTCTCCCACTTCCCAACCATCCCTTTACCTGCAAATAGCCTCTCCCAATAAACTTTTGAAAGTTCCTATACCGGGATATCATTTTCAACATCACCTGTCTCAGGAGTGAGTGCTTGAAAGGAACAAGTGATGCCTCAGGTCTTCTTGGAAAAATTGAATGAAACAGAGAAACAAAACAGGACAGAAGCAGCGCTTTCCGCACAACAAAGAGATCTACCATTGACACCAGCTTGTACTATATCTACACAAGGTGTGCTTTATACTTTCACTGGATACAAAACAAGGCAAAAATAAAAGCATTGCCTTTAACCATACTGAGAAGAGGAACAAACTGAGCCAGAACTTACTTTCATTTTCACTTCAATCCACTTCATGCTGGTTGCAGCTGTGGATGAAATTTAGAGAAATTACGCAAGCCTTGACATTTTATAGCAATCTCAAACAGAAATAGACTGAATGACAACAGCTGTGTCACTGACTTTTCAACATTAAAATAACTACCAGAAAATTTTATGAAATTTATTATGAAACAGTTTATAATAACACATGTGAGTGATTGTTCCAACAAGTGATTTCCTTTGCTCAGAAAGCAACTTTCTCATCAGCTCAAACTATTTTTTGGAATTCCAACAAGCAAATCACACTGCACATGATACCATAGAAATTCATGAGATTTGTCATGGATTTCCACACCATAGTAACCTCAATGTGGGATCACTATTACCTTGGAAAAGACAATGGATCTAAAAGGAAGCATGCTCCCACTTTCTCAGGACAACAGTGTTAATGCCATATTTCCCACACTCAGAAGTGGTAACTACTAGATCTGTCAAGATCTAAATTACAAAACTATTGCTTCAAATTACCACTGAAATCAGGCTTTATTTAAAGAAGTGAACTACTTTTAAATGCCAAAAGTAATAACTACTTTGATAGTTATGCTACGATGCCTTAAAAATGTTAAACAAATTGTTCAGAAAGGAAAAAGCCAAAACATACGGCTTAATATTTGGGAATGCATAATACTTAAGAGAAGTAATCAATTTCTTCAGCTTCCTTTAGGTGAATGTGTGGGATTGACAAATGGTACTGGCATTTCATCTGACTATTCTTCAGGCGTGCAGTGAAGTACAGCTTTTGGTGAAATGGGGTCAAATATATTTTAGCAGAGAATATGCTATCTACTGTTCATTTCTTTCTTGTGCTTCTTCTGCAGAGCAGATCTATCTGAAAAGTAAGTGATCAATCTACTCATTACTTACACCATATAACAATGTCATAATCTTCGTACGCAGAGGTGAGGAACTCATGAAGGTACGGCCTCATTAGCTCAAGTCCGCTCTCAGCACAGGATCTGTGATCTTAAATCAGAGGTAATCAATTCAGCAGGCTGCATGATACACTAGGATTTAAGGAAAGACTTGTATTTATATAACATCTTTCATAATGTCAGGACAACAAGTACTTCACAACAAGTGGCTTCATTTTGATGTACAGTCACTGTTATTGGGGGAATGTAGCAGGTAATTTATACACAAACTCCCAAAAACCGTGACAGAATAAACAAGCAAATAGTCAGTTCTGTTAATGTAGTTCAGCAATAAGTATCCACCGAGGACAATGGAGAGAATTTATCTGCTCTTCCTTGAGTGTAGCTTTGCAATGTTTTTTGCATTTTGTGCAATTCATACAATTATATAAATATACTGAGATTTCTATTGTTAAATTTGAAGTTCGCAAATGTTAGCTGGAATGAAATTTGATCAAAATTAACTAAATACTTCTAACAAAACTTAATATTGATTAGTAACACAGTGCATTCAGCTCGGGAACCAGGGAGCGAATGCAATCCAGAGCTATGGGATGAAGTCCTTTCTATTCTGCAGTGTACCCTAAATTACACAGAAGCTTATTGTATGCTACAAAGTGTTGCAAAGGTTCGAAAGAGCAAAGTTATCCTGTAAGTTAACACATGGTTCAAAAAAGTTAAAGGAGCTTAATCTGATCCAGCAAAATACTGCAAAAGGCACAAGCATGTTTAAAAACTTCCCTTTAAACAAACCTCAATGAGCAAAGAACATTACAAACATCATGAAAAAAACTGCCTCATAAAACGTTAGACATGTTGGCGCAGAAATTACTCAATTTTCCAAAGTTACAAAAGAGCTTTGCCATGCATCACAACAATTCACACATGACACGTTATGGTAAAATGTGCAGCGACTGTTTCACAGATCAACATAGCAGCCACATTGTATACAGCAATATTCCAAAAGACAGTGAAAAAAGTGGCCTTTTGTTTAGTCGAAGGGGGATGCCCCTCTTCTATTCAAAGAATGTCAGAATCTTTACTCTCCAACTAGGTTGCTGGAAGTGACAAGTGGTAGCTCCGTTCACTGCGATCACCTAATAGACATTCACATTAGTGTCAGTCTGGATCATGTGCTCAAATAATGTATTGGATCCCACAGTCTTTTGATTCAATATTATCCCTCTGGTACATTTGCCCACAAGCGTTTCAGGTAAGCACTGACTGTGGAGTTGAGCTTATCAGGGGGTTTAAACAATGCAGTAACAAAGATTAATAGAGTCCTCAAACAAAATCCATGCTTGCACCTGCTTTCCACCAGTACTCATGGCATGGTAACCAGAAGCAGTGAGCAGTGCTATTGACTGTAACAAAAACAGAAATTGCTGGAAAAACTCAGCAGGTCTGCCAGCATCTGTGAAGAGAAATCAGAGTTAACGTTTCAGGTCTGATGACCCTTTCTCAGAAGTTCTGAGGAAGGGCCATCAGACCTGAAATGCTAAATCTGATTTCCGTTCACAGATATTGCCAGACCTGCTGAGCTTTTCCAGCAATTTCAATTTTAGTTTCTGATTTATACAGCATGGGCAGTTCTTTTGGTTTTTATGTAGTGTTATTGACTGGGGTGATCCTAGTGCGCATGTGTGCACACGTCTGTTTGTGTGGAGGGAGGTGACACAATGAGGATGAAGAGGGACAGTGGGCAACTCCGTCATTAGAATGCCTTCTGTTAACCTTTATTGAACCAGTGGACAGGAGGCTATGAGGTAATGGCCTATATATGTATAAATTCACTTTCCGAAAGTTTCTCGTCACACATTTAGAGACGACGTGAAAGATTACTCATGCTTCTTGAAAGGCAGAAAAGACTCACTACTGAAATTGTCAGAGATAGTTTAATCTCCATTTCTGGGTATGATAGGCAAATTCGTTTACGGACATTGCATCAGTTTTGAAGTGGTCAAGTGTACTTACCAAACAACGTGTAGTCCACATCTAAAACTAGCAGCTTTTTCCCTTCCCGAGGTTGATTTAGGACTTCAACTTTATAGTCTTTTACTCTGCGTGCAATTTTGGCCAAGTTCTCTTCCCTAGATCAAAAGAGATAATTATTGCTAATTTAGCAAAAGCCAATACGGTATGGCCATTAAGTTTATAATAAATAATTGACGTTGCCTGACAATTAAACAGCCTTCTTTTTATTGAAACCATGGACTCTCATGTGAAAATTGAAATTTAAACAAACCATATTTTCTATACTGCTCTTAAAAAGAACACTGGATGTATAACTTTGGCCTTGTCTGCCTCCAATAACAGTCCAGAGAAATCTTCAGTTTAGAAATTCAAGCTTGCACAGGTGTGGAAAAGTTGAGAGGGGTCAGAGAATCTTTTGCTTCTGAATAATGTAAGCTTGTAAAATCTCAGTGCAGATAAGATAAACCCAAGTACAAAATTGCAACCTAGACCTTATAAACACCAGTTATTGTACATTGTACCATCAATGTCACTCACAGTACATCACAGCAGCCAAATTTGCATTGGGAAAATGCACTCCATTAATTATATCATCTTTGCTAAGTGGAATAGAATTTTTTATCCTTTCAAATCATCTCCCTTCCCCAGATCCTGGTTTATGTGTCAGATAATCAACCACAGGAACAGCATCACCAAGTGATTGTTATATCTCGCTTATCTGAGGAACTGGATGGAGCAATAGGTTATATGCTGCCAAACACACATGGATGCCAATTTAGCTGGGTGATGGGACAAATTTGGACATTGTCAATGCAGATCCATGCAGGCACAGGCCCACAGTGCGAAGAAACCACTGCCAATCTATGAAAAGTATACTTGAAGAATCACAAGAGAACTGGGAAAGGGACAAGCAAAGAACAACACGTATTAGACTTAGATAACAAGGTGTAGAGCTGGATGAACACAGCAGGCCAAGCAGTATCAGAGGAGCAGGAAGGTTGACGTTTTGGGCCTAGACCCTTCTTCAGAAATGGGGGAGGGGAAGGGGGTTCTGAAATAAATAGGGAGAGAGGGGGAGGCGGATAGAAGATGGATAGAGGAGAAGATAGGTGGAGAGGAGACAGACAGGTCAAAGAGGTGGGGATGGAGCCAGTGAAGGTGAGCGTAGGTGGGAAGGTAGGCAGGGGATAGGTCAGTCCAGGGAGGACTGACAGGTCAAGGGGG